GAATACTTGACCAGAGAGCTAGAAAACTACGTTTAGCTTCACGCCTGGCTGGGAGAGGAGGATAACACTGGGAACCAGTCACAGGTGTATTTCAGGTAAGTATAGCCTGGGGCTGGAACCTGGGACCTTGATGGTGCGGTTCACGACTTAATGCCTCGCCCGGAGTCCTACTTGGATTCTGTAAACAAACTTCGTAAGAAGTGGAGGAATTACTGGCAAATACACTTCCCAGTAGTGTGGGGAGTGTATTAGTGTTCCTGTTCCTGGTGATCATGCATGTTAATTAATTGACCATCTTATTCTTGGTGATATTGTTCTTTGATTTGGTTCCCTTCTCTGTCCCTCTTACTCTACACGTAACCTTGTTTTTTTTCTGTATTAAGGTTATTTTGATACTTTCATTCTTGGGATGTTTCACCTCTTATCCAATATTTATTATTCTCTTCCTCTTTCTCCCTTATTCTTCTGCCTTCTCTCACTGTAACACTTTTTCAAACACTTCCCCACTCGCCCACTGTCTGTTCCCCCCTCAACAACCATCACCTCCCTCTCATCCTTCCCTCCCCCAACCAACTCGCCCACCTTCCCTTTACAGCCCACTCATCTACATTCTTTTCCTTAGTTCTTTCGCTTTCTCATCATTTCGCCCACCCACCCTGCATCCATTCCTCTCTTATCCATCCCACACCTCGCCTTCCCGTTCCACCAGTATTTCCTCCCATCCTTTTTTTTTTTTAATTAAGTAAAATTACGAACCCCCGCAATGTGCGGCTACCCTACTGTTTACAGTAGCTCTTCCTATCATACTCCACACAGGATGGGTTGTTCCTGTCATATTGGGTCACACAGGATGAGTTGTTCCTGTCATATTGCGTCACAGAGGATGAGTTGTTCCTGTCATATTGCGTCACACAGGATGGGTTGTTCCTGTCATATTCCATCACACAGGATGGGTTGTTCTTGTGATATTCCATCACACAGGATGGGTTGTTCCTGCCATATTGCGTCACAGGATGGGTTGTTCCTGCCATATTGCGTCACAGAGGATGGGTTGTTCCTGTCATATTCCATCACACAGGATGGGTTGTTCCTTTCATATTCCATCACACAGGATGGGTTGTTCCTGTCATATTGCATCACACAGGATGGGTTGTTCCTGTCATATTGCATCACACAGGATGGGTTGTTCCTGTCATATTGCATCACACAGGATGGGTTGTTCCTGTCATATTGCATCACACAGGATGGGTTGTTCCTGTCATATTGCATCACACAGGATGGGTTGTTCCTGTCATATTGCATCACACAGGATGGGTTGTTCCTGTCATATTGCATCACACAGGATGGGTTGTTCCTGTCATATTGCATCACACAGGATGGGTTGTTCCTGTCATATTGCATCACACAGGATGGGTTGTTTCTGCCATATTGCATCACACAGGATGGGTTGTTCCTGTCATATTGCATCACACAGGATGGGTTGTTCCTGTCATATTGCATCACACAGGATGGGTTGTTCCTGTCATATTGCATCACACAGGATGGGTTGTTTCTGCCATATTGCATCACACAGGATGGGTTGTTCCTGTCATATTGCATCACACAGGATGGGTTGTTTCTGCCATATTGCATCACACAGGATGGGTTGTTCCTGTCATATTGCATCACACAGGATGGGTTGTTCCTGCCATATTACATCACACAGGATGGGTTGTTCCTGTCATATTGCATCACACAGGATGGGTTGTTCCTGTCATATTGCATCACACAGGATGGGTTGTTCCTGTCATATTGCATCACACAGGATGGGTTGTTCCTGTCATATTGCATCACAGGATGGGTTGTTCCTGTCATATTGCATCACACAGGATGGGTTGTTCCTGTCATATTGCATCACACAGGATGGGTTGTTCCTGTCATATTGCATCACATAGGATGGGTTGTTCCTGTCATATTGCATCACACAGGATGGGTTGTTCCTGTCATATTGCATCACACAGGATGGGTTGTTCCTGTCATATTCCATCACACAGGATGGGTTGTTCCTGTCATATTCCATCACACAGGATGGGTTGTTCCTGTCATATTCCATCACACAGGAAGGGTTGTTCCTGTCATATTCCATCACACAGGATGGGTTGTTCCTGTCATATTCCATCACACAGGATGGAAGTTATGAAGTATCAATTCGAGTTGGGAGACTTCAGTAGGACGTGAGGATATCATAAAGTATTCCGCTAAATTCAGAAGCTACGGCAGCCTTCCACAGCTGTCCTCGATAGGGAACTAGATGGGTTGCTAAGTACCTGACCAACCGGTCTGTGATTCTTATGTTGGACTGCGTGCAACGAGCAGCAACAGTCTGGTTGATCAGGCCCTAATCCACCGGTAGGTCGGGTCATGGACCGGGCCGGGGGGACGTTGACCCCCCCGAACATTCTCAGTGACTCGCGGACATGGAGCGTGTGAAGTGGCTTCTCCAGTGATCTTCCCTTCCACTGGTTTCCTTCATGAACAAACGTGACTCGCATACACGCTAACACCTGCTCTCTTGTAAATTTAAGTATTTAAATGTTGCGTTACTGTTTCTTGAATACAAACACTGCATCCACATGTGCCAGAAGTTTCAAGCGATGAGGACCAACACTGCAAATAAGTTTCAGTAACTTTTTTTTATCCAAAACTTTATTATTTTATATTTTACCATTTTTATTAATTATTTATTACTGTTCATTATTTATTATCATCCCTTACTCCCTGCTGAACCCATCAACCTTCCCTGCCTCTCCCCTTGACACGTCAAGAGCACCATGGACACAAAACACCACCCCAGTGTTTATTTACCCACCACGACACCAATTTACCCCCCTCCCTTTCACCCTCCCCACCACTGACCACTGGGAAGGGGGAGGGACTCCGCATAGTTCACCGTTGAGAGCATTAGACTGACACTTAGGGTTCTGGGTTCGAATCCCAGTCAGGACAAACATGCTGGACCTGCCCACCTATCAGTGAAAATAATTACTTTTGTTTTTATCTATTTGTTGTAGGTCACATCCAGGGTGAAATGAATGTCATATCCTGATATATACCTTGTACCTCTTGAGTTTTTTCTAACATCTGCAGTCCGGCACTGGTCCAGGCTCGCCTGGTGTTTGCCTGGTCAACCAGGTTGTTAGTGCTGGCAGCTCATTGGCTAACATATCCATCACATCCTCGTTGATCTGGCACTTCTTGCTACCTATCTAGAGTTATACATGAATATTATACAATATCGACAAGTTGAAGAATTACACACGTGCAACATCTGGGTATCTTTATTGTAGACATTTCGCCAACCAGTGGCTATTAGTACAAATTCAGAAACATAATGGGAAGATTATAGAACTATATACAAAAGATGAGGTAATCAGTCCCTCGGCCCTGGAGAATCTGGATGACGAAACGTCTACAACTAAAGATACCCAGATGTTGCACATGTCTAAATCTTCACCTCTGTCTTATTGTCCTTACTCTGATCTCGCTGTTTATGTGGATCCTAATTTTTTTAGTGACTAACTTCCTTTTGTCCAACAGCTATTCTAAAGGTATATGGCAAAAAAAAAAATGATACCAGTGTCATAATAACTGACAAATTTTTAAACAACTCTGGCCATGGCAATTTTTGTTTTTATGTATAAAATTTTGATTTTCATATTTTGGTTTATTAGCAACTTTTGAAAAAGGAATCAAGAGGGCAATTTGGGTTCCTGCCATTTTTGTAATCCTATTTTTTGGAAAATTGAAATAAAATTTTACTTTTTTTTTTATCTTTTCATCTCTGGTGTGACTAAATTGATTAGGCCATGAGGACACATCGGTCAAATTCAAAATTCAAATTAAAATTTTTATTTCTTTGCATGGTTTACAATGTGTGACTGTCATGTTATAAGAAGCCTATTTCCATGCATAGTTTACAATGTGTAATTACAATATTGATTTGCTTAGCGCATAGAAAGCCTCTATCATGCCGAGACGTATCGGGTCAGGTGTCATTAACTATTTTCTACACAACTGACATCCACTCTACTATATATGCTTGTTTTTTTTATCTGTATTATATTAATAAAGCCCTCCTGGTGAGCAAAACTTTTCCATAATAAGGATGTCTAACATGTTGGAAGTATCTCGTACATTTGTGTAATACTATATACCTTGTTTGTAACAGGTTGTGTGGTGCTGTTACTGAAGACTTCAGTAGAAGCTCAGATACCGGAAGGAAATTCTACTGCCAATGAGACGTCCTCGTCCTATGGTACTACCCCAGCAGAGGCAACAATATACTTCCCAAATAGCACATCACTGACAAATAATGATGGATTTGAGGACACAACCATCACTGTAGCAGACTTACGGATAAGGACTACTGCACACATCTCTCCTGAGACACGGGAGAACACACAAATATTTGCAGTTACTACTGAGAGTGAAGATAGGCACCCAGCTAGCACTGCCACTACACTCACTGTCCCACCAGTGAATCCAGAAGAAGATGAGGAAAATAATGCACATTCATTTGTGGAAAATTCTTCGAGTACTAATTCACCTGCTATTGAATATACTGAGCACCTCTCTCCTACCACCCCAGAGAATACTGTAAGAAATACTCCTACTACACTTCCTTATTCCTCAAGTACCATGTTTGTAGAAGATGCCACAGTAGCTGAAACAGTAACTGAGGCCTCTTCACCAGTTTCTTCCTCTGAAAACCTTTCAGTTAAAGAATTAACTTTTATAAACACCAATGATGAGTTAATAACTTCTACAGAGCCTCCACGCATCACTGCCAGCTTTTCAGAAACATCTTCAGGAGATAGTGATCATTCAGAATCTGGCACACTTACCACTTTAACTGCACTACCTGTGAACTCTACACTTGCACCAAGTGGTTCTCCACTCATTCCGGAGGCACTGCCTACCACAGTGCCACCTTCCACAGTGCCACCTTCCACAGTGCCACCTACAACAGTGTCACCTATAACAGTGTCACCTACAACAGTGTCACCTACAACAGTATCACACACAAATGATTCCAGTCCCACTTCATCTGGCCCTGTCATCACTCCTGTCACTGATGGTAGCACAGGTAGCAGCTGTGGGGATGCTGATGTAAGTATATATCTACATAATTACCCTCATATTTGCACTAGTACATGGAAATATGTACAGAACATCTCTATAAAAATGAATGAATACTCTTTAATAAACAAAACATTCATAGTTCCTCAATTGTTCTTTATTTATGATTACAAACTTCATTACTTTCTAGTCAGTGTTAAACCACCTCATTGCATTGGCTAGTAATGTAGTATAGCTAGAGTTTTCACTATCACCTTCCTCAACATTCTGAATGTGCAGTCACAGTTTGTTTTTTCACATTATTGATAATTTTTAACATGTAAATAGAGTACAGTACTTACCAATCAATAACGAACATTATTCACTATTGTCTTGATTAGTCTCATGTGCACCTTACAGTTCTATATATTACATTTATGGAGAAATGCTTTCAGTGTATCATACAGCTCCTGGGAAATGGGGATAATTTTGGTCCAAGGAAGGGGAGGGTAGCTCTAATTAGTCATGTACTTTATGTAATTTTCTCATTTCTTTATTGCATATTTTGTTCTCTGCATTAAATATCGTTATTTCTTCTCCCTCATTTCTGCTCTTCGTCTTGAATGCCGCAGGTGAATAAGTTGTTGTTGGTGCTGGCAGTGGCAGTGACGGCAAATGTGTTGGCAGTGATACTGACAGCTGTGTGTGTCTACCGCATAGTGTCTCGCAAAGTCTCCTGGGATCCTCCACCCATACACTACAATCGATCAGTATGAGTTCTGTCGCTGCTTTCTTTGCTCTGTTGTAATTTAATTTGTTGGTTCCATGATGGTCATAAAGACTGCCTGTCACCTCTACGTCAATGAAATTATTATTTTAATGAATAAATTAGTGATTAAAGTTAGTTTTGTATACATACCCTGAGATGCCTATGTAATATGCTTAATTTACTTCAGTGATTAAAATAAGCAGTATACTGTATATACACTGTGCTTTCTGCATAGTATGAAGATACTGGCTGTGTCACTTGTAATATTGTACTTCATAAGTTCATTGTTTACCATAGAGTACTGTACAACGTACAGTATTTGGTGTTTTACTACATCTACAATAGAAGTGCTGGAATAAGTAAGCACATCAACATACTGCTATATGATGTGTGGATTTCATACAAAAATGAAAAAAGAATTTTTCGTTATCACATTAGCTTAAGTTTTAATAATTCTATTGTGATGAGGTACCTGTATATAAGTTAGATTATTATTATTTCCATAGTATACACACATTAATCAAAATCTTAGCTTATCCAATATACATATACACAATAGTACATTTTTTATAAATCTTATTTAAATTTTTTATTTTGAATTTGTCAATAGCCTAAATTATTTTAAACATTTAAATGAGCTTACAACATGCTTGTATGAAGTGTCATTCTCAGGACATAAGCCATGCAAATGGATAAAAATGTTGATCAATACAGTACAGTGTACAGGTTTCTCGAGTATCTTAAATTCCTCCACCAGTTTTGTTACCATGATAATGTTTCTTTTTCTCTATAAAACTATTTTATAAACATTTTTATAAGTTTAAAAATATAGTACAGTAAATAGCATAAGGCAGTAAAATACAGCCTCTTCTCACTTAATGACTTCAGTTGACTCAAGAAATCGTAATGACACGATTGCAAACAAACCATACCCCTGGCCGGGATTGAACCCGCGGTCAGAGAGTCTCAAAACTCCAGCCCGTCGCGTTAGCCACTAGACCAGCTAGCCACAATAAGATTCATCCAACTAGGTATATTTCTACACCATAGGAAGGTTAGCACAGGCACCACTGTGACCACAAATGCAAGTTTTTACAGACGAATCTCCAGCTAGTGTGGCCGTGACGAACTCTTGCTCAAGTCCCTTCACTGAGTCATGTTGACGGCAGTGAAGGGACTTGAGCTAGAGTTCGTCACGGCCACGCTAGCTGGAGATTCGTCTGTAAAAACTTGCATTTGTGGTCACAGTGGTGCCTGTGCTAACCTTCCTATGGTGTAGAAATATACCTAGTTGGATGAATCTTATTGTGGCTAGCTGGTCTAGTGGCTAACGCGACGGGCTGGAGTTTTGAGACTATGACCGCGGGTTCAATCCCGGCCGGGGGTATGGTTTAATGACTTCAGTTCTGTGTCTAAGACCACGTCAGTAAACGATTTCCTAGCTAATCAGGGTCAGGGAGCATACTACGGTTGTGGGTCTGTGTCAACCATCTTTGATATTGTTTTAATATCATCACCTTTGCACCATTTATAACATTTTTTAGTATACAGTGGTACCTTGACTTAAAAGTTTAATTCGTTCTGTGACCGAGCTCGTAACTCAATTTGCTTGTATATCAAATCAGTTTTTATATTGAAATTAATTGAAGTGCCATTAATCCATTCCAGCCCCCAAAAAACCACCCCAATTTTTTTGTTATGGGTTTTTAAATAAGAAAAAATGTATTTATAAATAAGAAATGATTTTTTCCTTTTTTGCAAGGTCCCAGCAATGTTTTGGAAATGCTGAAGTATATATAAAACTCCTTGAATCACAGTGTAAGATGGGAAGTGTGGACAGACGATGAACAATCGTGAGAGGAAGGTCTTGAGTTGTAGATGAAAGAGCCAGGGCTAAACCCAGCTGCGTGGCACTGCGAGGCAGTGTAGAGAGGGCATGTTGAGGACATAGAAGAGAGAGCAGACTGCAGACAGTGCTCGCTGACTGATATGCTTCAGGCTGAGCTGAAGAGCTGGTTTGGACGTCAGGTGTTGGGAAGGGTGTTGTGTGTTTGGCTACACTTCGCTGGTGATGGAGCCACTCTTGAGTCTTTTGAAGTCTCTCTTGGACATGTGGAATAGTTGCATTCTGAGGTTGGAGCAGTTCAGATTCGTCACGAGGTAAGATAGTGCGTTTTCAAAAGGAATTTGGTGAGGTTTGGTGCAGGTGTACTTAACAGCTCCTTCTTTCATTAAGTGGAGCACATCAGCTGCGCTCATTTCGGTTGGGAGGTTGGGGGTGGTGTAGAAGGTTAGAGACCCATTAAAGGCTTGGCTTAGGTAACGGTTGCCTGTGGTTTCTTCTTCGACTACTACTTCGTCGTTGTACGAGGGTTGTTCATAATGTTCTGGTACTATTTCGTCTTCTGTGACTGTGTTGAGAGGAGGCAGGGAGTGTTGGTCGGTCGTGATTTGTTGGGCTGGTGGTGGGTGGTGAGAGGTGGCAGTAGACGGTGGTGTTGGTTCTGGAGTAGAGTCTTGGTCAGAGATACGAGTAGGACCAGGGGTTGAGGTGAAGTTAACAATATCTGGAATTAGCTTGAGGAGGTCTTGTGATGGTGGCGAGTCTGGAAAGTTGAAGTTTGGCATGTTGTTTAGGCGAAACAGTTCATTGATTGTTGTGTTGAATGAGCCAGGGTTTGCAGCATTAGTAAGGTGTGCATACATCATACAGTATAGCACCTTGGATGGAACAGCGTCAGGAAGAGCAAGGAGGGACTGGCTGGGTGGAGATGATTGTTGTGTAGCTTGAAGGAGTTCGGTGGTATCTGATTGAATTTTTGCAATGGCGGCGTATGTTGGCGATTTAGGGTTGTTCTTCTTGGTTTCTTCAATGATTTTCTTAGACAGGACTTCTTTACGTAGAGGGCATTTTGCTGCAAGGGTGTGGTGAGTACCCTTGCAGTTGAGGCAGGTAGGAGAGGTAGTGGTAGTAGAACATTCCTTGAAGTCATGGCCGTCTTTACCGCAGTTTGTGCAGTACTTTTTCCCTTTGAGAGGACAGTCAGGCGTTGAGTGGTGATAGGAGTAGCAGGTCCAGCATGGCGAGATGTGGGCGAAACGTTCGGGTTCTATGTGACTTGGATGGATATGATAGTAGGAGATAGCTAGGCCGTCAGACAGTGCTCTAGTAGCCATCTCGATGTTGGAGAAGGTTAGCTTGATCATTGTAGAGGCGTTGGGGATTTTGGTGATATGTTCAATCGACGCCCAGGTATTTTGTTCCTCGATAGAGGTCTTGAGATCCTCAGTCGATAAAGAAGTGACGAGTTTGTCCAGGCGTTTGACGAAAACGGAACGTTTCGCCAGCAAAAAAGGTGAAGGGGAGATGGTGAACTGTCGGTCTCTGAGGGTTTTCATAGAAGTGTCGGCGATCAGCTTTGTGGCTTCATAATCGTCGGTACAGACGACGATGAATGAGTCTTTCGTCGAGTTGATGGCTGTAAATTTAACTTGTAGGCAAGTCTTTACAACGGCAGCAAGGGCGAGTTTAGTAGAGTCATTTATTACTCCACTGTTGGGTTTGATCCTTACACGGTTTGCAAGCATCATGAAGGAGTAAGTCAGGCGCTGGTACGATGACTATAGGTTCCCCTCCCCGACGGGGATCGAAGGAACACTTCTTGAGGTGAGGAGTGACTGTGTCTCACGATGATGTGTTCAAGACGACTATCTGATTCACCCACCGGAGTCCCAACAGAAGAGCCTGCTATGTGTGTGTTCTCAATGTCTGTCCCACGATCGACTTAGCTGCTGGGTTAAGCCCTGGCTCTATTTCTACTACTAAGAACACTCCTCTCCAGCACTATTCTTCGTCTGTCCCGTCTTCCCCGCTCATCCCATTTGGGATCTTACCTGAACTTTCGTTCGTTCGTTCGTGTAAGATGAGTGTCACTCCACTGCTGACAGTGCAGCAGTGGAGTGACATTTGATCATCGTGCACTGCCTTGGCTTTATTTTTCGTTGTTACACATAAACATGTCTATCTGTTTGTTTATGTCTATTTGTCTGTCTAGCTCTGTTATCTATCTGTTTATCTGTCTTCCTGTCTCTCTACTTGTCTTTCTGTCTCAGAGCCACTCATGAACCAACAGGTATTACACATGATGCAGAGTCATCATGTCTGATTTCTGAACAAGTGAAAATGTGTATTACTTACCAGTCATTGCTTATGATACCTTATATCTACAAGCATAGTATAGCACTGTCTGGATTTTTGGGGTTATCCTAGGTAATTTACACTATGTATAACTGTATTTGTGTGTACCTGTGAGAGAGATACAGAGATAGAGATAGAAACAGACAAAGACAGAGGTAGACAGAGATACAGACACAGAGATAGATACAGACAGAGATAGATAGACACAGAGATAGATACAGACACAGAGATAGATACAGACACAGAGATAGATACAGACACAGAGATAGATACAGACACAGAGATAGATACAGACACAGAGATAGATACAGACACAGAGATAGATACAGACACAGAGATAGATACAGACACAGAGATAGATACAGACACAGAGATACAGACACAGAGATACAGACACAGAGATACAGACACAGAGATACAGACACAGAGATAGATACAGACACAGAGATAGATACAGACACAGAGATAGATACAGACACAGAGATAGATACAGACACAGAGATAGATACAGACACAGAGATAGATACAGACACAGAGATAGATACAGACACAGAGATAGATACAGACACAGAGATAGATACAGACACAGAGATAGATACAGACACAGAGATAGATACAGACACAGAGATAGATACAGACACAGAGATAGATACAGACACAGAGATAGATACAGACACAGAGATAGATACAGACACAGAGATAGATACAGACACAGAGATAGATACAGACACAGAGATAGATACAGATCACAGAGATAGATACAGACACAGAGATAGATACAGACACAGAGATAGATACAGACACAGAGATAGATACAGACACAGAGATAGATACAGACACAGAGATAGATACAGACACAGAGATAGATACAGACACAGAGATAGATACAGACACAGAGAGAGATACAGACACAGAGAGAGATACAGACACAGAGAGAGATACAGACACAGAGATACAGACACAGAGATACAGACACAGAGATACAGACACAGAGATAGATACAGACAGAGAGACAGACAGACATAAAGAGATGAGACAGCCAAAGCAAATCAGCGAGCCAACCAGCCGGCCACCCAATGTATTACACATGTTCCAGAATTGTTTCTCTTTACTTAGGGCATACGTTATAGAACATTCTGGCAGGATGACATTACCAGTGGTATCAAAATTGAAAGAATGTTACACATTGGTTATTATCGAGGTTTTTTATATTTCCTGGGTATCTCCTGCGAGTGGCAGCATATCTGAAGCTCGGTCGTAACTCGGATTTTGGCTCGCAACTCAAAGCAAAAAATCGACCGAGCAATGGCTCATAACTCAGAAAACTTGTAAGTTGGGGCACTCATAAGTCAAGGTACCCCTGTATTTTTAAATGTTTGTACAGTAGTACATATACTGTATATTGTAATACAGAATAGAGGAAATCAACTCTTAATATACATTATTTAGGTATGCATACTGGTCAGAGAGCTCATTGTAAGTCCGAGTCATCGGTAAACGAATATGTTGCTAAGTGAGAAGAGGCTGTAATAAAATGCCTCAGAGTGGGTGTTTAAAAGACATTGTTACTATATCACATTGCTATATACTCACAGAGCAACTAACCTCATTAGGGTCATACCGTGTCTGGGGAGTTTAAGATTGAGTTTGGAGTTCGCTGGTTAAGGGCACTTTGATTTAAGAGCCCTTACCATTTAAACGGTTCCCTTGAAGGGTTACTTTAACCATAATTTTTAAAGGGGTAGAACGGTAAGCCAGCGGAAAGCCTCTGTCAGATAACCAGAAGCTCCAACAGCGGGTCATCATCTGACTAAGACATGCATCAAGAAACACTTGTCCTGTTTCTTGACAAACCTTACCTAACCATCCTTGAAGGGCATTTAGAGATGTGCTAGGTTAATTGATTTCAGTGCTGACTTCTCTACAGTGAATAGGTTTGGAGTACAGTGGACCCCCGCATAGCGAACTTAATCCGTGCAAGAGGGCTGGTCGTTATGCGAAATGTTCGCTATGCGAATTAATTTTCCCCATAAGAAATAATGGAAATAAAATTAATCCGTGCAAGACCCCCAAAAGTATGAAAAAAAAATTTTTTTACCACAAAAAAATGTTAATTTTAGTACACACAAACTGAAAAAGGCATGCACAATTACATGACACTTACTTTTATTGAAGATCTGGTGATGATTGATGGGATGGGAGGAGGGGAGAGAGAGTGTTAGTGTTTAGAAGAGGAATCCCCTTCCATTAACACTTGAGGAGGCAAGTCCTTTTCCGGGGTTACTTCCCTTCTTCTTTTAATGCCACTAGGACCAGCTTCAGAGTCACTGGACTTCTTTCTGTCCATAGAGCTCTGTACCTCCCGTTCCTTTACGATTTGTCTAAAATGGGCCATAACATTGTCATTGAAATAGTCACCAGCACGCCTTGCAACAGCTGTGTCAGGGTGATTTTCATCCATAAAGGTTTGCAGTTCAACCCACTGTGCACACATTTCCTTAATTTTTGAAGTAGGCACAATGGATTCCACAACTGGCATAGGCTTCTCAGGGTTAGCCCCAAACCCTTCAAAATCTTTCTTAATTTCCATACTAATTCTCACCCTTTTTACCACAGGGTTGGCACTAGAAGCTTTCTTGGGGCCCATGGTCACTTATTTTCAACAAACAGAACCGAAAACACTGTAATAATACGAAATATTCCGAGTGTATGCTTGAATGTTACCGCGGAGGCTAGCTGGTAAACAATGGGACAGGCGGCACATGTGAGGCTGGCTGAGGCCGCACATTGGACGCGTCTCGGACGAAGTTCGCTGAGCGGGTTTTTGTCTACTATGCGGGGCAAAATTTTAGCGATCAAAGCGTTCGCTATGCGGAATGTTCGCTATGCAAGGCGTTCGCTATGCGGGGGTCCACTGTATTGCTTTCAAGTGCCCTTTTCATTTTATTTTTTAAAGACTGTACTCGTCTTCACAAGGATTAATGTAGTATTTTAAGATATTACAACTGACTAGTGATAATATAGTATAATCATCAGATGAGGTGACTGAATAATGATCACAGTGACCAGTATTAATGTCAGTAGTAATGATGTACTGGAACTGCAAGTCAACTGCAAGCTACATACAGTGGAACCTCAGTACTTGAACTTAATTAATTCCAGAAGGCTGTTTGAGTACCAAACAAATTTTTCCAAACCAATTATCTTCTTGGTTGGCTGTTATCACTAATCTTTGTAGGCCCCATGGTGACTTATTTATACAAATAATATAAACACTAAAAAATGCGAAGAAACACAAAATAGTTTACAGCGAAGTTCTGGCAAGTCGTGTTTGTTTGGTCGAGTGCTGTGCAATTGGTCGACTACCGAGCGATTCTTTTTTTTTTTTTACTGAACAAAACATTCAAATACTGAATTGTTCGAGTAGGGAGTTGTTTGAGTATTGAGGTTCCACTGTATGTACTCTTTGATTTGTATGAAAAATTTTCCAAACTGAATATAAGAAAACTCTGTTGAGACTGTGTCCTTGTTCCATCCATTGGCATAGTCAAAAATGTGTAACCTATTGATCATAGACTGTATGTGAATATCCACTTTCTGTATTTTCCAGTAACTTGTATTTAAAAAATTATAATGATTAAAAAAAAAATCTATCCACATTTTTGAAAGTTTCAAATTATGTATTGGAAGTTCATGTACAATTTAACATTAGGAACAAGTATTAACATTGGTTTGAAGTGTATTGGTTAGTAGATACCCGATAATACGACTAATTTTTATTATCTTACATGATCTGAAAATTATAAAAAATTCCAAGTCTTTGTGGAAGTCAGTTTTAAGAAATCTGACACATTTCTGTGATTTGCTTTAAGGTAGCCTGTTGGGTATTTTCCAAGGCAATGAATGAGGTGAAATATCGATGTATGTATTGCAGAAGCGGGGAGAGCATGTCAGGCGGCAGTGTTGTCCTCACTCAGGACTGCATCTGGCTTCTGACAGAGAGTGTAAGGCTGGCGAGGGTGGAGGAGCACCTGCTACCCACATCCCTATCCTCATCACCAATGAGGATGGCTGGTGTGTTCCCTACAGTGAGCAGGATAACAAGAAGAAAGGAAATGTCACAGAGGATACTGGAGTATGAGTCAAGGAAGCACCCTTGCATAAAGTTATCAGCATGGGATGAAGGTAATAAAAAGGGATTTTGTAAATGTATTTACAGCAGGAGTAAGTTATAGAAACTAATGATTCAGGTGCAGAAATAAGTTATGTACTTATGCAGTATATGGGAATCTTGCAAAATGCCATGTACGTATATAATGTACAACACAAATGTATTGTAGTTATTATAGTAAATTACTCGTGTATAGGTTGACTCCTGACTTTTTCTTTCAAAAAAATCTTTCTTTTTTTGTGTGTATAAATAACCACTAGTTGAAAAGCATAACATTATTTAAAAATTAAGTACTCTACTGTGATTTATCCTGGAATACTGGTTACTACAATGGTCAAGGTTTGTTACATTGTTCAGCGAGCTATTGGCCTTTGTGCATGCACTGTTGCATTCACATAGTATGTACTAAATAAAATATGGGGCAGAGTATGTCACATGTTCCTTTAGAGATTAAGGCTGTTGTAAAATATATAGGAACCCCTTGTTTGACTATAATGTTACATTCTGCAAAATGTGTTTAATCAAATTTATGCTGTATTAAAACAAAATCAGGACTGTAGTCAGGCTTATGTCTTTAGGGAGGCATCCAAAAAATTGTTGGAGAGGAAAATTATTATTTTATGTGGTGAAAACTCTTCCCAGTATTCTATCTTGCTGTAGTAATGTAGTGATGATAAAACTTAAGACACATTTGGGTACTAATTTGAGACTTTAATTATGTACAGTAGTACTTGATTTTAAGAAATTAAAGGAAATAAATAGTAATTTTTTCTTATGCATATCAGAAAATACCAGTGTGTGTATTAAAAATACCTCTTAAAAAGCACAAAATGAAAATGCTGTATGGAACGGAACAAGAAGGATAGAAAAGAATGGAAATGGGTGAATAAGGTGGGGATGATAGGGAAAAGGTAAGTGGCCCAACCACTTTTGATTTTTACCTAACTTGTGAATGTGAAATTCATTTTATGTGATAGTGAAATTTGGAGAGGATGCATCTCTTGCTGCCCTGCACAGACACATGTACACAGGAGGTGTCTATATGGATGGATATTACCTCCCCCCCCCCCAACCCCTTCCATGAAGTAGAAGTTGCTGGTGGTGCAGGGGCGTAGGTCAGGAGGCTTGAGGGTGCTAGGTGGTTGTGCTAGAGGCTGGCTGCCTGGTACTTGCCGGGCATAATTTTCTGCCTTCAGCAGACACTTTGGAACAGTATCCTACCCATTGTGGACTATGGATGTTGGCGAGTTCAGATGTTCATTGGTGTCACAGTGGTTGTGGTGTTTTAGCTATTTTGTACATAGACTAGTGCAAGTGTAATAATTCAGTCTAATATCTCCTGGAAGATCAGTCAGTGTCTGTGGCACTCTTTGCTGTAATGTCATCCTGTGTATTCTGTGAGGGGGAGAGGGTTAACAGATCCCATAATCTGTAGTGTTGATCATCTGGGGAGGATTTGCCATACCATGAAGATGGTGCTTCTCGAGTGTGTATAACCTGACATTCATTTCATCGACCCCATGCTGAACTTGGATGTCCTCTATTCTGACTTGGCTGAGTGCAATAAATGAATTGGAGGGTGCTGCTAGACTTGGGTATGAGTGATAGTGGTGTGTATGGGTATTAGAGTATTGATCACATCATCATCTTGTAGAGGTGTTTCTTAATATGTGTTAGGAGCTGGCAATATCTAAACAACTGGAAGAGATGGGCTTTTGCTACATTTACCCTTTTGATGATGTGGAGTGCAATAGCCAGTCTGTTTTGTAGCCCAGGATCTTGTTTGAGTTTTTGATAGCAATGGGAGTTTCCCTGATGATTCCTTCATTGTTTTCTATCGATGTGGGGTAACACCTGAGGCTGCTGATTTGTACCTTGTCTGGGTTGGTGGCAATTCATTTCTTCTACCAGTTGGCCATTCTTCTCAGCTCTTCATTCATCTTCTCACATCACTTTCGTGTGTGTATTGGCTCTGGATGCCAGGTGGAGGTCATGACATGTATTACATCTTTAGCATATTGGGTGATGGGGTGTCTGTGCTCTGGTTGTGGGAGGTTGCTGACATAAATGTTGATAGTTTGGTTGGTAAACCCCAGCTGTGGGTGAGAATGCCACCTCTGTTTTTTGGTTAAAGGTGGGGATGATTCTTCTCTTAGGAAGTTGTAGACCAGATGTGAGAAAGTCCAGCTGTGGTGAGGGAAGTCAGGCAGTTTAAATACAAGCCCATCAGTAATGCAGAGGTGAGGAACAACGTAATACATACTCTGATGAAACCATTAGTTTCCAGGTTTGCATTTTAACCCCTTAATGTAAGATATGCTTTTGTTATACAATACATGCTAATTTTCCACCAGCCCCAGGTATTTGCTACAGACATAGCATTGTTACCCAGCCCCAAAGTACTGGTATGTATCAAGGCTTTTGTAGGCTTTCACATCCTGTCCAGTGTAGGGAGAGATCATTCACACCCACTTCCCTTAGTGATGTAAATCACAAGTTTTTCTCATAATTTATTCAATGACACCCAACATGGCCGACCAGTGTAAATCAGCCAACTTTAGTTATGTGACTGAAAAACCTCAGTATTAAGTATATACAGCCTCTCGTCACTTAATGACGGAGTTCTGTTTTTAAGACCTCGTCGGTAAATGAATTCGTCGGTAAGTGAGGAGCATACTATAATGGTAGTGGGTTTGTGTTCACCATCTTTGATATTGTTTTAATGTCACCTTTGCCTGATTTATAGCATTTCTGGTATATTTTTAAATGTTTATACAAAAGTGTACTGTATATTGTAATAAACAGAATAGAGGAAATCAGCTCTAACATATATTAATTAGGTATGAATAGTGGTCAAAGAGCCCGTCGTAAGTGTAAGTCGTCGGTAAACGAGTATGTCACTGAGGAGAGGCTGTACACTTCTTAGGGAACTTGAAAAATTTTAGGTGTCTGTTGATTAAAGTATGTAATTATTTTTAAACTAGTGTGTTCTTTAACTGTGCTTTTGTGTGCTTGTTAGTGTGATTGATTGCTTGATTGACTTTTGAGGGTCTGTTTTTGCTTGAGTATTAAAACATATACATGTGTATATCCCTTTTTTAACAGGGGTTGAATGACCTCATAAGTCCAAATGTTCTGTATGTATTAAAATTTTCTTGGACCTGTTCACTATTAAATAATCATAGGTGTAAGCAAACTTGCCCACAAGTTTACTAGCCTTGGGATTAATCCCAGGTTCTTTTGGTTGTGAGCAAAATTAGCTATCACTGAGAAAAGTTGCATGTTCTTTTTAAAATGAAACACGGAAGGTAATGCATATAAGTAATTAAGAAACGTTTAGGGGGAAGGAGTATTTTTGTTACTTATCACAAAGATTACTTGCCAAGCCATTGCAAGTGAACTGAATGCATTCACTCTGCCTCTGCATAAAAACATGTAATAATCACTGAAAATAAATGAACCATTAGCTGTGTTGCTCCTTTTGCAAGGACCAATATCTCATTCAATAAATAAAAATAGATGGTTCAGACCCCACAACAAAGGGCCTGAACCATCTGCCACCACTCTGGCAAGAAAACAATACATCATGGGTGAATGATAGTGCAAATCTGAATTGATAGTCAACACTGCCTCAAAACAGTATTGTTTATAAAGTGTAGGCATATGTAAATCATATCAAAATCTTATGATGCAAGTGATACAAATGGAGTGAGAACAAGCCTGTTTCCTCCGCACTACTGCTAGAAGCCACACTACCTTACTGAAAAGCGAAATCAAAGATTTTAATAGTTTTCCAGATTGCACTGCAAGTGAATAAGTAAAGTAGATAGAGGAATTCTAGATAAGATTTATGTTAGTTTGATGAGGACAGTGATGAAAATTCTGTAGAAATCAATGAAGCTTGATGCAGTTGTCTTTGCTGTGACATTCTATCAGTGATTTTCCTCCTAGTCTCTTATTACATTATCTTGAACCATTAATTTGTTAGATTTTCATGAATTTTCTACACAGTACCAGGGCCATAGTTTAAAAAATGTATTGCATGACTGTCTTGGTCATTCATTGCTGCTAAGGAAGTAAAAACCACATGAACCCCCTAGTTTGCTAACCTGGCAGACATGTGCTTTTTTTTTTATGTATACGTATAGTGGTACCTTGACTTATGAGTTTAATTTGTTCCTTGACCTAGCTCATAGCTCAGTTTGCTCATATATCAAATAAATTTTCCTCATTGAAATTAATTGAAATGCCATTAATCCATTCCAGCAAAATTCTTGCTCTTGGGAGGCAGGAGAAAATACTTCAATGTAATGCTAATATCATCTCTACGACTTGTTTATATATCACAATTGATCTAATATGACATAATAAACAATATACACAACATGGAAACATGACATATACTCTAAAATGAATAAAATTTGTCATGTGATGAGTGGTGGTGGCCACTCCCACTCCCGCTCTGACCATATCTTCCCATTCTTCCCCTTCTGAAAATGGAGTGTTTGTGAGGCTGACTGCACTAGATCACTAGTTTCATAAGGAAAACACTGACACAGTGTATTTATAAATAAGAAATTCATTCATTTATGCAGGTTTGCCGGTACTACAGGCCCAGGTCTCCTCCAGATGGCGTCCCGGCGACAAATAGGAAATTTTTTTTTTCCCCAACAAGTCGGCCGTCTCCCACCGAGGCAGGGTGACCCAAAAAGAAAATACTTTCATCATCATTCAACACTTTCACCTCACTCACACATAATCACTGTTTTTGCAGAGGTGCTCAGAACACAACAGTTTAGAAGCATATACGTATAAAGATACACAACATATCCCTCCAAACTGCTAATTTCCCAAAACCCCTCCTTTAGAGTGCAGGCATTGTACTTCCCATTTCCAGGACTCAAGTCCGGCTACATAAAAATAAAAATAACCGTTTTCCCTGAATCCCTTCACTAAATATTACCCTGCTCACACTCCAACAGATCGTCAGGTCCCAAATACCATTCGTCTCCATTCACTCCTATCGAGCATGCTCATGCACACCTGCTGGAAGTCCAAGCCCCTCGCCCACAAAACCTCCCTTACCCCTTCCTTCCAACCTTTTCGAAGACGACCCCTACCCCGCCTTCCTTCTCCTACAGATTTAAATGCTCTCCATGTCATTCTCCTTTGATCCATTCTCTCTAAATGACCAAACCACCTCAACAACCCCTCTTCAGCCCTCTGACTAATACTTTTATTAACTCCACACCTTCTCCTAATTTCCACACTTCGAATTTTCTGCATAATATTTACACCACATGTCAGCATAGAACTATGCTGACACACCCATTGCCCTTAGACAGGACATCTCCACTGCCTCCAACTGCCTCCTCGCTGCTGCATTCACAACCCAAGCTTCACACCCATATAAGAGTGTTGGTACTACTATACTTTCATACATTCCCTTCTTTGCCTCCATAGATAACATTTTTTGACTCCACACATACCTCAACGCACCACTCGCCTTTTTTCCTTCATCAATTCTATTTACCTTGGAGAATAGATGCTGGTGGAGGTGTAGGTGGAGGGTGGAAAAGATAGACTACTTGCTACACTCTTAATGCTACACTTTATTGCTTGGCTGGCGCCATACCCTTTATTGACTCCTCCTGCTTTAGTATCGTACATATCGTAGAAGCACTACGCTGGTACTGCCTGGCCAAGTCCACAACCCGCACACGTCACTCATGTTTATCTATGATTTCATTCTTTAATTCAATGGACAGCATCCTCTTTTTCTTATCACTGTCCTTTGCACTTACTTTCTTAGGATCCATGTTTAGAAAAAAGAAATATGGCAAAATAACTGCACAAAATGCAAGCACAACACAAGAGAAATGCTTCCATAGAGAGGTAAACACATGCACTGCTGAGCGGATGTTGTGGCGTTCGCTGCGCCAACTGGTGGCGGTGTTCTGATGCTCGCTCGCAACTCAGATTTTGGCTCATAACTCAGAGCAAAAATCGACCAAGCAATGGCTCATAACTCGAAAAACTCGTATGTTGGGACACTCATAAGTCGAGGTTCCACTATACAGTGGACCCCCGCATACCGTTGGCATCACATAACGTTAAATCCGCATACCGATACATTTTATCGCTAAGATTTTGCCTCGCATACCGCTAAAAACCCGCTCAACACTATTCGTCCGAGACGCGTCTAATGTGCGGCCTGAGCCAGCCTTATATGTTCCGCCGGTGGCATTGTTTACAAGCCAGCCTCCGCGGTAACATCCAAGCATGCAATCGTAACATTTTGTATTATTACAGTGTTTTTGGTGATTTTATCTGCAAAATAAGTGACCATGGGCCCCAAGAAAGCTTCTAGTGCCAACCCTGTGGTAAAAAGGGTGAGAAATATTATCGAAATACTGTGGTACCATGGTGAACTGCTGATGCTGCTGCTGCTGTAGCACTGTCAGCTGCTGCTGTAGCACCATCAGCTGCTGCTGCTGTACCACCATCAGCTGCTGCTGTAGCACTGTCTGCTGCTGTAGTACCATCTGCTGCTGTAGCATCGTCTGCTGCTGCTGTAGCATTGTCTGCTGCTGCTGTAGCACTGTCAGCTGCTGCTGCTGCTGTAGCACTGTCAGCTGCTGCTGCTGCTGTAACATTGTCAGCTGCTGCTGCTGCTGCACTGTTAGCTGCTGCTGCTGCTGCACTGTTAGCTGCTGCTGCTGCTGTAGCACCGTCAGCTGCTGTTGCTGCTGTAGCACTGTCAGCTGCTGCTGTTGCTGCTGTAGCACCGTCAGCTGCTGCTGCTGCTGCTGTACCACCGTCATCTGCTGCTGCTGCTGTAGTACTGTCTGCTGCTGCTATAGTACCGTCTGCTGCTGCTGTAGCATCGTCTGCTGCCGCTGTAGCATCGTCTGCTGCTGCTGTAGCACTGTCAGCTGCTGCTGTAGCACCGTTGTTGGTGTGGCTTATTGAGAATACCAAGAAACAATTAACCCCAGAGGGTTAGCCACCCAGGATAACCCAAAAAAGTCAGTGTCATCGAAGACTGTCTAGCTTATTTCCATTGGGGTCCTTAATCTTGTCTCCCAGGATGCAACCCACACCAGTCGACTAACACCCAGGTGAACAGGGAAAAACGCCTGGAACTAGTGCTCATATTGGTGAATTTAAAGCCAGCAAAGGTTGGTTTGAGAGATTTAAGAATCGAAATGGCATACACAGTGTGATAAGGCCTGTTCTGGAAGAAAATGCCAAACAGGACCTACAGTACTCAGGAGGAAAAGGCACTCCCAGGACACAGTGTCTCATCAGTCATTGCTGCATCTTCAATAAAGGTAAGTGTCATTTATTCTTCATTTAGTAGAGTAGTACATGCACAATATATATTGTGCATGTACTACTCTACTATTGTGCATGTATCCTTCTCTTTGTGTGTAGGAAAATGTATATTTCATGTGGTAAATTTTTTTTCTTCATACTTTTGGGTGTCTTGCACGGATTAATTTGATTTCCATTATTTCTGAAGGAGGGGTGTTAATGTTGCAGTTTAAAAACTGTAGTGTAAAGCACCCTTCTGGCAAGACAGTGATGGAGTGAATGATGGTGAAAGTTTTTCTTTTTCGGGCCACCCTGCCTTGGTGGGAATCGGCCAGTGTGATAATAATAAAATAATAATAAATATTTCTTATGGGGAAAATTCATTCGCATAACGATAATTTCGCATAACAATGAGCTCTCAGGAACGGATTAATATCGTTATGCGGGGGTCCACTGTATATTTTGGGTGTGCTTTCCATGGGAAAGTGGAACAGAATTCTTCCTCCGTAAGCCATGCATGTTGTAAGTGGTGACTGGAATCCTGGGAGCAGGAGGCTAGTAACCCCTTCTCCTGTATACATTACTAAAGTTAAAAAGAGAAACTTTCGCTTTTCTTTTTGGACCACCCTGCCTTGGTGGAATACGGCTGGTTTGTTGAAAGATGATGATCATCATTTTGGGTGTGTACAAACTTTCCTGATGTTTGAGTGGGGAGCAGGTTCATGTTAGTTTGTTCCAGACCATATCCTTTATTAACCCTTAAACTTTCCAAACATAGATCTTCGTTGACGTACGTAGCACTCCGAACGTAGATCTGTTTTTTTTTTTTACATGCTTTCAAATGGAGAAAGTAAAGGTCGGAACGCCATGGACGTGAACGTAGATCTATGTTTGGACAGGTTCCGGGTTAAACAAACCTGTCAAACTGAAATGTCTTTGCATACACTATAGACATGTTTACAGCATAATGCCATTCATACTTTGATCCCACCCTTTCCATAGCACAACACATTCTTGTTGCAATGTATGTGAGCCAAGGTGAAAATAAAATTTTTAGTATAGATTTACAGTTACATTTATACTGTATCAGGTTATCAAGCAAACCCACACACAATGTACTTTATTTTCAACTATTTTGTGATCTGGCATGATGATGAAACTCATACTGGTTTTGCGGTGTAACTTGTTTGATCTTGGGGGCATACATAATCACTGCAGCTCAACACGTGGGGCCCACTGAGTACGTATTTGACCCTGTATGCATCACACACAGTTGATATCTGCAGCAGAGGTCAGCAGTTCATGGAACAGGAAGGATTTAAACTTAAGGGAAGCCTGTCCTAAAACTAGCAGGCCAGTGCTCTAACCATTGTGTTGTCAGTGATGTGAATGGAGGGAGAAAAAACTTGAAGTAAATACTCACAAAAGCAAATACAGTAGTTAGAGCACTGGCCTGCTATTCTAAGGTCTTGCTTCCCAGAGGTTTGAATCCTGCCTGTTCCACAAGTTGTTTAAAATTTGTATTAAAGGTATTGCAGTTTTAGGAGTCAAAGATAGCAGTTTTTGCAAAAACATGTCTTTCTCTCTGCTGTAAATTTACATCTTCAAATTCATCATCCTTCAGACATGTAGCCAGACCTATTACAGATGTTTAGAAGAAGCATAGGAGACTGTCTGGAAGTAAAATTGGCATTTGGACTTCAGTGATTGTGAACTTGGCATTTGCAAAGCTCTTGATTTGAGAATTGCCTGAGAAATACCTTAGAGTAATTAAAGGCTATCGAAGGTTGGTTTGATAGGTTCGTGCATCATTTTGTCAGTGGTAAATACAAACACCATAAGAGCAACATTCAGTGCTATGCTGGTTGAAGAGTAAAAGTACATATCAAATGCATTAAAGACTTTTATGTTTAGACTTCTGTTTCAAAGATGAATGAACCCACAGGATCTACATACCTGACAGATAATGATGCCAGGATTCAAAACATCTAATAAGAGAATGATGTTGCTGGTGACTAAAACTGAAAATCCTTCTTAGAAACTATTATGAGACCTCTAGGACTCTTGAAGGATGTTCATACTCATCTTATCTGTGATATCAAATGGCAACATACTTATTATATCTCTGCATTATTTGGATCAGAGAATGAATTACCGGAATTTACATTGCACCTTATTTTTTACAGGAACATGCACTTTGTTAGTGCTACTCTGCTTAATGCATTACTCTCACAAAGTCATGTAAGAACACTTAACAAGAAACTACTGTAAAAGTCTGCTGTCAAAATGGAACCACTCAGGAAAATTATTGTAGAATATTTAAGTTGACAGACAATTGACATTAGTAATATTTGTTGCTTTATTTTATGAAGACCGCATTAACGTAGACCTGTTGGGGTCGTACAGTCTTAAAATTTTAACAAGTAAGGAAATAAAAGATAAATCTGTTCGTCAACCACTGATGTGCTTGGGAAATGAGTCACTAAAGCACAGTCCTCATAATCTACACTTAGAGTGACAGCTTCAGGAATAAAACTTTGACAAAAAATTTAGTACGTAATTTATAGTGGGTCTGTATGGAAGTTTGTTGCATATGATAATTGTCACCATCATCAAGATTGCTGTTATCAATTTAATATTAATAATTTAGGCCTATGCACATTCACCATTCTCTGATTTTTCTAAATGATAAGTAACTGTTGTCTGATGTGCCTGCAACTTGCAGTCAGTAAATTTTGTACAGTAATTTAATTCTCTCTCATATGTAAGCTATGTAATTTTTCTCTTGGAGAAATTATAGGGTAATTGATGTTATTTTAAAGTAAAGAAATGTTATCAATGTTAGATATTTTATCTGCAAACAGAATTTTATGCAATTTGTAATACAATAGAGTAATTGGCTTATGTATTACTAAATTGTGGATTTTAAATCCAGTCATGAATTTTCCACATATAGTATTGTACAAAGTGTACAGTTTTGTGTATTAAACTGTAACTGCAGGGAATACAAAGTATTCTACATAATGTACTTGAGAAGTCTGGTTAAGTATGATTTTACTGTAGTGCATAGGTCATAATGGTCTTTTCATATATATTTTTTTTAATTGCCCTGTTGATAGGCTTCTACCGATATAGTGTATTCTTTAATGCCTGGTAATTTAGAGATGTAGATCATTGGTATCATGTACTGACAAGTATGGTAACAAGACATTGTGCCACAGGACACCGTATGACATAACTTGCATATAGTCTTGTTAACATATTTAAGATGTAAAGAAAATTCTCTTGAGTAATAAGTCTGGTTATGCAGAACATTTTGTGCTGATTGAAATGAGAACTTAAAATTGCTGGACACTACATAACTGAAGTAAGATTATTTGAATGTTAGGCTCAGTATAATGTTGCCAGAGGATAGGATTATTAAATATAATTCACTTTATTTTTATGACTCAAGTTTAGACTGTATTTATGTAATATAATAAAGAATATCCTCACATTTATTTTTCTTCACATAGCCGTTAATGTGTTCTGACTCTGGCTGTCTCCCACTGCTTCACCTGATTGGTCTTCTGGCTTTTTTCCTCTTTGCTCTCCTACTCATTGCTTGATAATGATTCAAGATGAACCAAAACGTCATCGTAAGTTTCATCTACAAATTGAGTTGTTGGTTTTGTAGTTAGTTTTGAAGTTTGTGTTGTAGTTTGATATTTTAACACATCAGCTGTCTCCCACTGAGGTAGGGTGATCCACAAAAGAGGAAACACATTTGCCATTATTTATTCAATCTGTCTTGCCAGAGGCTTGCTGACATCACAGTTCAGATAACCCCTGAACTGCAACATCCTCACCCCTCTAAAGTGCAGACACTGAACTTCTCACCTCCAGGACTCGTATCTGCCAACTGGTTTCCCTGAATTCCTTCACAAATGTTACTTTGTTCACACACCAACAGTACATAGGATCTTTAAAAAAATTCTTCTCCAATCACTCCAATCTAACATACTTGCATTAGCTTGCTGAGCACTTAATCCCCTAGCACTCAAAACCTCTTTTCTCTCCCTCTAGCCCATCCTCGGATGATCTGTAAACCTCCCTTCCACCTCAGGTTTATAAACATTTGGTCATCCTTTTCTGCTTCATCCTCTCTGAATGTCCAAACCACTGCAACAACTCCTCCTCAGATCTCTGAATTATATTTTTTGGTAATCCTGCTCCACCTTCAATTTCTATACTCCATATTTTATGCATAAAATTTATGCCACACTTTGCTTTCAAACAAGACATCTCCTCTGCCTCCAGCTACTTCCTATTGCAATGTTTAAAAACCATGCCTTACTCCTATATGAATGTTAGTACCATTGTACCCTCCCCCTTTTTTTTAACTTCCCTATATAAACTTTCCTTTCCTCAGGTAATACATTACCTACTTTTTTTTCCTCATATATTTTATACTTTACCTTGTCTTTCATAGTTCCGTCTGCCAACATGTCCACTCCCATGTCTTGCATACTCCATCCTTCCAATCTGATATCCAGTCTTTCATTACCTAACTCATTTCTTATCCACATCACCTTGCTTTTTCCCCTGTGATTATGTATGAGTGAGGTGAAAGTGTTGAATGATGATGAAAGTATTTTCGTTTTGGGGATTTTTTCTTTTTGGGTCACCCTGCCTTGGTGGGAGACGTTTAAAGCATCACTCAGGGATGCTTTAAATGTCATATATTACATTATTATAGACACTTTCATTTCATCAAAATTATTTAAGAAACAGGTTACATAACACACAAACATAATATGTATATACGTACTGTACAGCCATAGTAAAACAGATTGACAAATATGAGATGTTGTAGCCAGGCAGCTTGTAGTAGTGACAGCAAGAATTCCATTTTCTCTAGTCCAACACTAGAGAAGTTATGTACAGTATAGTATTATTAGGGTAACTGTAGGAAAATATTCCTTTCATATGCCCTCACTCAGCATTATTTACTCTAAAAATGGTGTGTTGCATGAGAATGGAAGTATTGCTGTTGTTTATTCTACTGCACTAATGTAAAGACAACTTGTACACAATACAAGGTGTTTGTATTGTGGAAAAAAAAGATTCACAAACACATGCATTATGCGAAATGAGAACGTATGAACTGTCTTCGTCTGACTGCCCACCATCCATTCACTATTTACATTCTCTGCATCTCTCTTGTTTATGATGGCATCTAAGGGTAGTTGTGATAAAAGAGGAGTCGTAAAATGCTTCCTTAAAGTGCCAAGTTAGAAATGATTAAACTTGAACAAGGTATGTTGATGGTAATAATAATAATAAATAATTTCTTTGGGGCACTTTAAATGTCGTAAATTATGATATAAACATTGTCATTAATCCGTCTTTAAACTCTGTGAAGAAGATATATTGATGGCAGTACTACTCGCCTCTCACCCTACATAAAGACGACAGATATTTTAATGAGTGTACTGTATGTGCATTTTACTTTTTTTTTTTTTTTTTTTTTTTTTTTTGCGCCAAGTTCTATTGATGACTTACTATATAATAATGTAAATGTGTTATCAGGCATTTATATGCTTTTAAAAGTGAAAAAAAGAGTGATTTGCTTTACGACGATTTTCGATTTACTGTGGTAGCCTGGAACCAAACCCACCATGTAAGTGGGGCCCTCCTGTTCCTCAGTGCACTGCCCACCTTTATCCCTTCATCAGCTCTGCGGTTTACCTTGTATTTCATATACCCATCTGCTGACACGCCCACTCCCAAATATTTAAACATATTCACTGCCTCTGTGCTCCCTCCCTTAAATCTGATATCCAATTTTTTATTACCTAACTCGTTTGATACTCTTATTCTTATCTGTGTTTACTTTCAACTACCTTTGTCCCATAGCTCAGTTACTAGCACACTCAACTCTCACATAGAGGTCCATGGTTCAATCCTTGGTACAGGTGGATTAAGATTCCTACTGTCCCTGTTCACCTAGGAGTGAATAGGTACGTGTGTGTTAGCTGACTGGTGTGGGGTCACATCCTGGGGACAAAATTAACCTGAAATGCTTTGCACAACCAGGGACTTTCTATGTAGTGTGTCATTGATGTCAGCTAGGCCCGTACAAATTAGTGGCAAAAGCTCTCGCTTCACACGATGAGGGTCCAGGTTCTATTCCCAGTGAAGGGATGGAAATGTTGGACAAGTTTCCTAACACTAGTTGTCTATGTTCACTCATCAGTAAAATGGGTACCTGGGTGTTAGTTGACTGGTGTGGGTTGCATCCTGGGATAAAACTGACCTAATTTGCCTGAAATGTTCAGCATAACGAGAGGCTTTCTATATAGTAGTAGTATGTCATTGATGTCAGCTAGGCCTGTATACCTTGTACATGTTTACCTGGAGAGAGTTCCGGGGGTCAACGCCCCCGCGGCCCGGTCTGTGACCAGGCCTCCTGGTGGATCAGAGCCTGATCAACCAGGCTGATGCTGCTGACTGCACGCAAACCAATGTACGAGCCACAGCCCGGCTGATCAGGAACTGACTTTAGGTGCTTGTCCAGTGCCAGCTTGAGGACTGCCAGGGGTCTGTTGGTAATCCCCCTTATGTGTGCTGGGAGGCAGTTGAACAGTCTCGGGCCCCTGACACTTATTGTATGGTCTCTTAACGTGCTAGTGACACCCCTGCTTTTCATTGGGGGGATGTTGCATTGTCTGCCAAGTCTTTTGCTTTCGTTATAGTGATTTTCGTGTGCAATTCGGTCTAGCCCCCTTTAGGATTTTCCGGGTATATAATCTTTACCCTTTCCCTCCTGCACCGGGAAACGGGTTTGGGAACCTCAAGCGCTCCCAGTTTAAGGGTTTTATCCCATTATGCGCGCCTTAAAAGTTTCTGTACATTTTCTGGGTGGGGCAATTTCCCCTCCCTTTTAAAGGGGTGCTGTTATGTGCAGCAATATTCTACCTAGATAGAACGTGACCTAAAGGTGTCATCAGGGTTGGCCCCCCCATTTTTGAAGGTTTCTTTATCCTCCTTCTTTTTTCTAGAGATGCGATTGATAAAATGTTTTGGCCTTGAAGGTGAACCTCCGACATAATCACCCCCAGGTTTTTTTAACTTTGGTGTTTCACTTTTTGGGGCCCAGAATTTGTTTTAACTCTGATGAAGATTTAATTTTCCTCATGTTTCCCTATCTGAGTAATTAAAATTTTCATCGTTGAACTTCATTTTGTTTTCTGCAGCCCACTAAAAGTTTTGGGTTGGGGTTTTCCCCCTGGGCCTTGCAGTGCCCGCAATGGAAGACACTGTCATGCAGTTTTGGGGTGAATCTGCAAAGGAAGACACGGTGTGTGGCTGACACCCTTTGTCTAGTGGTATGAGGATACAAAAGAGGGGAGCGAGTATGTCCCTTTGTGGAACAGAGCTTTTCACCGTAGCTGCCTCGGACTTTATTGTTGACGACTACTCTCTGTGTTCTGTTAGTGAGGAAATTTAGATCCATCGACCGACTTTTCCTGTTATTCCTTTGCACGCTTTTGTGCGCTATTACGCCCTGGTCACATTGTCGAAGGCTTTGCAAAGTTGTATATATTTCATCTACATTCTTTTTGCTTCTAGTGCATTTAGGACCTTGTCGTATGATCCAAAAGTTGAACAGCGGAGCGACCTGTTTTTTAAACCCCTGTTTCCCCGGGTTGTGTAAGATGGGTTTCTAGATGGGTGGGTCTTGCTTCTTAGGACCCCTTTTAAAGATTTTTAGAATTTGGGTGTTATGCATTGGTTGTAGTTCTTTGCTGTTGTTTACTGCCCCCTTTGTGGGGGTGGGCTATGTTGTTGTTTTTAGAAATGTGGGACGACCCCCGTGTCCTGCTCCCTCCCTGGATGGAAAAGGCTGTGATAGGGGCTTCTTGCATTCTTGATGAAACAGAGTTCCATGAGTTCCCCGGGGGCAAGGTGCATGGGCATGTCATTTATCGCCTGTTCAAAGTCTTTGGCGTCAGGTTAAACATTGGATGGGCTTGTTTTAAATCAAATTTTGTGGCTCTCTCATAAAAATTCATTTTATCTTGGGCTTCTCTGGTTGGGGCTTGCTAAAAACTGAGTTCTTTATTGGGACTTGAGTAGCTACTCATTTCCTTGCTGTCATCTTGTGGGCCCCATCTTTTTTTAAGTAGGGGCCCAATACTGGCGTTGTTCTCGTTTTTTTGATTTGGCATAGGAGAAAAAATATTTTGGGGTTTCTTCGTTTAAAATTTATGGCTTTTAGTTTTTCCCCGCGATTCTGACCCCAAGGATTCTTTTAGTTTAAGTTCGATGCTTGCTATTTCTCTGACCAGTGTTCCCCCTCGCATTTCAGATATATTGCCTCTTTTAGCCGTTTGTTATTTTTTTTCCCGTCCCTGAAAAGGGGAGCGCCTGTCTCTTTTTTTTTTTAATCTACTCCCCTTTTTTCTTAGAGGAAAAGCCTTGTGATACATCGAGTGCCACCGAGTTAATC